CAGGATGGCTCTGACCTTTCTGGGAAAGGCTGATAACGGCGGTGCGGCTCTTGTAGCCCAATCTCAGGGCGGTCTGAGCCTCTCGTGGCAGCGGAGGCATTTTGGAGCATCCCCTTTTGGGTCCCTGAGAGGATGCTGGGCACTGGAGCCACCCACAGCAACACCCTGCTGTTTCCTGATCCAAAAGAGGACACCAAGGCTGTTGGACCAGCAAAACTCCTCACTGGAAAAGCCCCGTTAGCAACACAGGGAGCTGGGTTTTATCCAACCATCCCCAGGGTATCTTCACCGGGGCTGTTGGGTGCTGAAAGGGGATGAATTTTGGCACCTTCACAAACACAGGAGCTCTGGCAAACTTGCTTGGGAGAACAGAGCAACTAAATATGCACCTCTCTCCATTTAAAGTGAGATTCAGCAAGGATTTGCCCTCTGTGTGCGCAGAGTTTTGCCAACCAAGGGAAGTTTTCACCGCCTGAGTGCAGGCACCAGCCACCCCCATTAGATTTGGGGTGCCCACCCCTCCCTAGGTCCTGCACCCCACAGTGCTGCATCTGCAGCTGTATTCAGATGTATATCCCTCTATACCCTCTCTGTTCAGCTCCCACAACCATTTCTGCTCCCTTTGGCTGTAAAATCAGCATTAATCTCAATGCTCGCTGCTGCAGGCCCGATTAAATCAACTCATTTTGCACTGTGAACACACACAGGCTGCTCTGCCAAGGGAAACAGGGAGCTGGGAACCCGAATTAGGAGGTAAGTAATAATTTTAGCTCCCTCAGTCCTTTGCTGATGGTGAGCACGTTACCCACCCGATGCTTTGTGAGTCCTGTTCATAAACCCACATTACAGATAACTGAGGGCGAGCAAAATTCCTATCAGCTCGGATGCCTGCTTTGAATTTCCAGGGGAGAAAAGGCAGGGAAAATAAAAAAAAAAAAAACCCAGCCTATCTTTTGCCTAAATCAAAGCCTTTTTATTTTTAAAAAAGCCAGCAGAGCCCTTGTTTCCAAACGGAGCAGCCTGTAACCTTAAAAACTGCCCCACTTACGTATCTGCGAGTCAATGGCGCCAGGCTGATTTACATAGTGCTGACAATCCGGCCCTAAAACCCGTTATATATAGCATGAAACCAAGAGTTCTTAAGTATCTTACATTAATATGAAAATTAATGGGGAGATTTTCAAAGGCGAGAATGAGCAGTGAAATTGCAAGGCAATGTGATCCTCTCCCTCCTTCCAGCGGAAAACTCTGCCTTCAAAAACCTACATTTCAGCCTTAAAAATACCTTTATTTCCCGCTGTGTGCTTCTGTATGGGTTTTGCAGATGTCCTGAGAGTGACCTACGTGTGAAAAACCAATCTATAACCCAAATCTAAGGCTAGCAGAAAGCTACCGACCTCTTATTGCAACAAGAAAACATCTACCAGGGAGCAAGGATGTATTTCAGTCCTCGTCTTTGCTGGCCTTTCAGTGTCACCCAGACCGTGATGCCCCTCCTGTCCCAATGCAGTGGGTATTTATGGTGCTGTCACCATGCTGGTGGCATCCGGGTGATGCTCAGGAGCATTTTGCTATGCAGCTCTACCCTCGTGGGTTTATTTTTACATTTACAAGTGCATTTAGTTACTGCCATGTGCTGTAGGAATCTGAGCAGAACCGGGCTGGAAAACAAGTCCAGTGTCCCCCCCTTGTAAACCCAGTTGAGATTTGCAAGGGGATGAGGGGGGACAGAAGCTGGTCCCAAGGTTCCCAAGCTGCCCGAAACTGGTTACATGAGTGGTGGGTGCTTTTGGAAGTGGCCGACTCGGTGCTCGGTTTGAATGGTGACATTTGATCAACGCCACGTGTAATGTCACCATTGCATAAGGTCCTGGCGCCGGTGTCCCCCATCCCTGTAGCCTAAGAATAGAGATGAGGAGCACGGCCGCGTGTGACGGGAGGATGGGGACCTCGGGATTATCGTCACCCCCCATCACCCTCATGGGAAAGCATCCCACCTCTTTAATTCACCCGGCATTCAGGCCTGGGATGGTTATAATCAGAATAAAAATAGACGTGCCCAATGCCAAACTGGAGGAGCATTGCTATTTAATTACCCCTCGGTGCAAAACTCTCTGGGACTTGTCATAGAAGAGAAAAAAAAAGAAGATAAAAAGGTATTAATAACCACCCCTGATAAGCTGCGACTGCTTAACATCTTTATTAGACAGACAGACAGGGCCCCTGCTAAAGGAAATTGCTCCGAGGAGGAGTTGTTTTCTTTCTTAAGCATCTTTTTAATATCATCCCGTAAATCTCCAAAGGCCCCTGACTTTCTGGGCAAGGGAGAGATTGGATTGGGAGGGCATGGAAACGGCGCTGACACTTTGAGCTCTTTCCTGCAACGCCGAAGGACCAAAAGATATTTTCAGTTTTTACGTGACAGCCGCGTTCCTCGCCCCTCGCAAAAATCCAGGGTCAGGAGCTTTATGAGCGGCACAAGTCTGGCAGTAAAAGCAGAAATAGTGAGGGAATAAGGGAGGGAGGGAGGGAGGATGGCTTTAAAAAATGCCAGGACCCTCCAGTGCTGATTTTCAGGAGGGAAATGGAGAAATTCAGCTGGAATGGTGATTCTGATGCTGATTTTTAGGAAGTTAAGTGCTGTGTGCCTCTGGTTTTCCAGAGCGCTGTGGGGGAACAGAGTTTGGCTATGGGGGAGCACCCATAGAAGTGATGCTCGGTGCATCCCTGGGCTGGGTTTTCGGGCTCGGTGTCTCATGGTGGCCCAGGGACCATCTGTCCCCCAGACCCTTCCCTTCATCAACACAAACCTGCACCCCACTAAAACCACTGGGGCAATGGGGCCGTGCGTGGAGCAAAGGCACCCTGGGACAGAAACCTTTCCTATCAGGGGACGTTCATTCAAATCTCCACTGAACAGAGCACAGCGTGCCACATCTTGGGAATCCTGTTGGGATCAAGACTCCATCCCTGCTTTCCTGCACCTATTCAGTGCTGCCAGACCATCAGACCAACCCATGTGGGACCACAACCTGCCAAATCCTCACAGCAAACACTGCTGGGAAAACCCATCCTACTCCTGCCCCTTGGTTTGTGGCTTTTTTGGGTGATTTTGTCTGTATTTACCCTCTCTGTCCCACTCCTGCACTGCCCAGGCTCTCAGCTCCCCAGGAGATTGTGTTCACACTCTCCCTCTTCTCACGCCTGTTCCCTTCAAGAACAGCCCAATCTCAGCCCTGTTTGACACCACAAGAGCCCCCGGTTTTACCAAAGGCAGAGGGGAGGATCTCCTGGTGCCATCAGCCAGCGCTCAGCCCTTATTAGACATCAGAGACTCCCCCTTAGCCACAGAGATCCAGGAAACCCCTCCAGTCTCAGTAACCCACTCCTCACCCAGGCACTTGAGCATTTCTGACAGCAAAACCCACACAAGTGGTGGGCTCCAGAGCTCAGACCCATCCCGATCAAGCCAGATGCTACCCCCTTGCCCCCCATCTGCACTCATCCCAAACTCAGGGACCCATCCTGGTGACACCACCGCCCCCTCCCCAGCTCTTACCTTTATACTGGGGCGTGAACTGCCTCATGGCCAAGGGCAGCGACTCGTAGAAGCTCAGCTCCTGCGAGACCAGGGGCTTGCAGACCGTGTGCTCGTCGTACTTCATCATGCTCATGTGGCCGCCCACCTGGTGGACGAAGGGCTCCAGGAGGACGGGGGTCCTGCTCTCGCTGGGGTTCAAGGGACTCTGCCCCACCATGGTGCTGGGTGAAATAGGAGCTCGCTCCTCTTTAGGTTTGGGACATGTTGTGCTGGGCTGGTTAATGCACACTTTGGGTTTTCACTGTCAGTGCCTGCAAAATAGAGGGGGTATGGGCATGAGAAAGGGGGATGAGCCACTGCAAAGCCACCACAAAGCCACCATCTGTGCTGGAGTCCCAGCTCAGCCTGGTGTCAAGCATGGAGGACACAGCCAGGGGTGATGAGAGCTTTCGGGAGCCCCAACCTGAAATGCAGAGTGCAGAAAAGAGCCGATTTAGACCCATTGGAGGCGAAAGAAACAGAGGGGAATGATCGAGAAGAGCGATCATGTTAACGCCATGGCCTCCACAAAGCAGCTGGATCAGGGCATTCCTTGGACCAGTGATGCCAGGTTATTAATACGCTGTGTTAATGACAGCCCTCGTCGTGAAAGCCCCAGTTTGCCTTACGAGACAGCGTTAACGACGGCCTCGGTCCTTCCCCAGCGAGGACATTCCTTCCACAGGGGATTTATTAATAAACCCTTGGTGCTTTCATGTCCCTGCGCTGTCTTAACGCCGCTGATGGGGTTAGCAACATTTTCTGCACCTTTTTAGAAAGCTCGGTTTGGGACATCATCGGCTGCCACTTAACACCGCGACGGGAGCGGGAGCGTTTCCTCCGATGCGCTAACACATGGCACCAGGACGGGTGGCACCCAAACGCCCCCACCATCAGCGAATCCATTCCTGCTTCCCAAAATCTCTCCTTAATTTGACACCAACAAGCCCTGGCTCTAAAACAGTGAAGTGGGGAAAGCACAGACACAACCACATCTGTGCTGTGCTGCCTCGGTTTCTCTTGAGAGCACCCAGCAGCACCCACTCCTTTGCTTTAACTTTTGGGAGAAGCCCATGGGTGGCTCTTGCTCTGGTGGACGTTGGGCAGGAGAATCCCGTAGCCACTGAGAAAGGTTAAAAAAGCAGCCTGGCTTCATGTCATCGAGGCAGTAAAACCAGAGGAAGACACTCCAGACCCCAAACTAAATGGGAAGGGGGAAATAAATGAATAAAATTGTCCTTTTGAGCACTGGTTCACGTTCTGCATCCCTCAAAAAGGGATGTGCAGAGCCCTGCTTGCTGCCCCCCTCAGCACGAATGGCTTTGTCCTTGTTCCTCCAGCTTCAGCAGCACTTGGGGAGCTTTGTCTCCTGTTTTTGCCAGCAAAACCCCAGTGCCGTGGATAAAAAGCACCTTTGGAAGATCCATTTCTCTCTAGCAAAGCCTCCAGGAGGTGCTGCTGTGTGTGAGCGACACCAGCGCTGCCCACCCCAAACCTTGCTGGGGCCAGGCCCGCACCATCCCCTCCTCCTTGACCAGGAGACACCGAATTGCACACTAAATAAGGAATAAACCCAGCGTTTCCCATCGTGGGCTGCTAAAGGCACCGTGCTCAGCCATTTCTCAGCACTTCCAGCCCCACCTGGGAGCTTTAACCACCAAAATGCAGAGTATTCCTCATCCTACAACAGCACACCAGAGCTCAGCTACTTCAGATCCCCCTTCCTGCTGTAATTAAACCCAGCAAACGAGCCCTCGGCGCAGGGCCCTGCTTTGTTCCTCGCCCGGAGGAGTGGGATGAAGTGGGTTGAGGGCAGAGAAAAACCACTCCCACCTCCCAAACGCTCCTTTACCTTCCCAAAAGTGCGTTGTTTTGGGGTTTTCTTCCCCCTATTTTTCGATTCTTTTGTCATTTCAGAGAGGATTTTCTACTCTACAATTACCAGCCCTGTACAGCAAAGGCAACAAAGCCAGGCCACTTCGATGAGTGCTTTTCAATCAGGGAAGAAAGCAGCTCTTCAGAGCCCTGCTAGAAGTTAATAAAAGCATTTACCGTTTCTGTTAAGTCGCACACGGCAACTTTTAAAGAAGATTTTTCCCCTTGAAAGCTGTGGGTTTGGTGTGGGTTGGTTTTGTGGGGGTTTTTTTATATATATATATATGAAAAGAGACAAGCAAAGAGCAAGCGGATTTGTCACCACACCTCTTTGCAGCGGAGAGCACAAGATGACTCCAGTCCGGTATTTATGGCTTTAGAGGCAGTCCAAGGCTGACACCACACACTCACAATCCCGGCGACCTTGGCGTTGCAAAGAGAGTTTGGGTAAAAAAAAAAAACACCCCACGATTTGCTACGTTTTCTCTCGAGCAAAAACTCGGAGGGAGATTTGCTGTAAGGGAAAGGGGCTTCTTTTCATTTGGGTTTCGTGGCGGAGCAGCTCGTCCGTGCGGAGCAGATGAATGTGAGCGCTAACGCTTCCCGAGCCGCGCTGGAGCACGAGGCTCCTGAAATAAATCACCTCTGCCGGCTGCGGTTATCGCCAACGCCAAAAGATATTTACCTCACTAAAAAGACACGGAATCGCAGATAAATCTGCAGCCTCAGAAACACAGCCAGAAACCTTGAGTATTTTTCCCTTAGCTTAAAAAAAAAAAACAAACCCAAACTGAAAACACCAGACCAGGCACTGCAGATGAAGATGAATCAGAAAATAATGGGGAAGGAGAAATCTCCCATCTAAAAAAAAAAAGCCCAAAACACATCACGCTGCTCTTCTTTAGAGCCAAAAGTGTCTGAGCTAAACAGGTTATTTATTCCCAAAGTAATCAAGCAGATTCAATTCCCTAAGCTTTAATTAATTCCCACCCCGGCCCGGCCCCAGCAGAACCAGTGTGGCCCAGTGTGATGAACTGGGAGCCAAACGCAGAGCCCACACCTCATAAAGAGCTGGGATCCTCTCAGCATTAATACTTTGGATTACTGAAAAGCAAAAATCACGTTAAAAACAAGCGCTGTCAGCACAGGACCATGTTTTCAGCCTGATATCGTGATCAGGACCCTCTCCTCTGGAGACCCAGCTGCCCAGAGCATCCCAAAGTTGGGCTTCAAGCGCTGCAGAGGGCTGCTATTTATTTTTCCCCTTATTAAAAGGGAAGAAAATAACATTGATCTTAATTTGAAGGCTCCACATGTTCATTGCTCTGGGTACTGGAGCTGAGCTGGATTCAAAGCCATCTCCAGCCCAGCCCCAGTGCAAAGTGTGAGTGCGCAGAGCCCAGTTCCCCCAATTCCCTCAGCTCTTTTATCTTACGTTTCCTTTCCAGAAAGAAAACCACGCTGGTAAAGCTGATGACCGGTCCTTCCCAAAGAAGATGCAGCGATTTGGTTTGCTGCACTGAGGGATTTACTGAGGGAAGCAGCAGGATGGATGGGGTGGGATGGGAGCTGTGTTATCAGGGGCTGGCAGCCCCCTGCCCATCCCCAGAGGGACACGGGGATGTGCCTTTGGACCACGGTAGGGAGCTTGGGGCTGCCAGCAGGGCTATGGGATGAGGGGACATGGTGCCACCACATCCTGTGGGAAAGGTGGGTGCCCTCACCCCCCTGCCCAATTCCTGCCTTTCACACCACCAAACACCACCCGCCCTTTTGCCGAGCAGCCCTGCGCTTTCTGACGATGCCATGAGCACAACAGAGAACCAAAAGGCACCGAGATCTTTTATTGCAGACCCCCAGGTTGCTCCAGAGGGTTTGTACCAGCCCCCTGGACACTGTTATCCCCCTGTTTCCCATCCATCCCCCTTGCTCCCATCCCTTCCCGCAAGCCATGGCTGTTCTCGGAGCTTTCCTAACACAATCTCACCCACTCTCCAAAATCGAGCGCGTGTCCACCCTGCCCGCACTCATCCTGCCCTGGACGGCGGCCGCTGTGGATGCTGCAGCCCTCTGGACCTCACCTGTGGGGTGTCC